ATTGTTTTTGCTATTCTGGGTCTTTTATTTTTCCATATGAATTTCATGATTGCTTTATCTATTTCTACAAGAAAAGCCATTGGGATTTTGATTGGCATTGCATTAAACCTATAGAGAACTTTTGGTAATATCGCCATTTTGATAATGTTAGTTCTGCCTATCCATGAACAAGGTATATTTTTCCATCTTCTAAGATCCTCTTCTATTTCTCTCTTTATAAAATATTTTTTTAAAAAAGAAAGGACACATTGTTGGATAGTACAGACTAAGATGAAAGGTGCTTTCTGACTGTGTTCAATTATTTTGGAAGCAATTGTTTGTACCTCATTAGGGTTCTAAATGGGTCACAGAGTTTAGTGTCTCCCACCAACTTATCCCAAGGTAAGAGTAGCAACATAGTTCAGGTCCTGAGTGGTTGACTTCCTGGTGAGCATGCCTAGGTTTATCTTAGGGGAACATTTTACCCTTTAAAAGATGTTTAATGTATGTTTAAAGTACATAAATTAAAGTCGAGGCACTGTGCTCCTAAGAATTCATTCTTCTGTGTAGGGTTTTTTATAAATATATATAAAGTATTTTGTACTTTTCTTTTTTCTTATGTATGTATTACGGTCTTACTTTTTTCTGATTATGAAGACAAATCTTTACCTTCAACTAAATGTCAATTACAGAATGCAGATATAAGTAACTATTTCTGCATTACATTCTGTCTGATTTATTTGGTGTAAGAATGATTAAGTGATCCTGATATGTTTTATAATGCTATACTAAAGCATTCAGACATGCTAAGCTTGTTAGGAGATGAGTGCAAGACAGTAGGATTAGCTCATCATCTATCAAGTATCCATCTAAGTACAAGTTCATTTTTAGGAGCTGGTTGATTTACTGCTAAGCTATTCCATATATTCTTTTCCACTTTACATATTAACCAAGAGCATACTTTATAATAGTGATCTAGAAACCCAACAAACTGACTTACATTGGGATGAAATCACAACTGTAACTTCTTTAACACTTAATCTAACTAGTTGCTTAATCTAACTAGTTAACTTGCCTATGCTTAGAAAGCTATTTATACTGATTTCATTCATATCTGATGAGCTTTGTTTATCTAGGTCACAAAAGCTGAAATTGTGGCATGTTGACAGAATCACTGATGTGGCTTCTGTTTTTTGCTTAGAGGCCCCGGACCTAAAGCAGGAGGAGCGTCTACAAGAGCTGGAGAGCTGTTCTGGACTGGGCAGCACATCTGATGATACGGATGTCAGGGAGGTCAGTTCCCGCCCCAGCACACCAGGCCTCAGTGTCGTGTCGGGTATGTCTGTCTTGCTTTAAGGTCGGTCTAGGAATTAGAAGGTGTTATCCCCCCCCCCCCCGTTTATAAGATTGATGCCAAAGAGATATGTTTTATTTGAGAGCTGAGTAATTTCCAGGAAACCAAGTGATTTCTATGGCCCCTTTAATCTTTGAAAATTTAACGTTTGGCTTTTAGAGCCTGTTGAAGTAATTGGCAAATGATCCCTATACAACTGTTTCCATTCTTGGTAGCCTTTGCTACAGTATTTAGATACCATAGGATAATTCTAATTATGCTGTATAAAGCAAGATAAGTATATTTGAGCAATGGTACAATAAAGGATAAATTCTAAATAACTCACATGTATACACCTGGGACATATATAAATTGAGAATGTTTACATTTCTTTAAACTTTATAAATATTTTTTGTGTGGCTATTTTGTCCTTCTTGCTGTTTATTTTTTACTATTTTTTCTTAAAGGTATAAGTGCAACCTCTGAGGATATTCCTAATAAGATTGAAGACCTAAGATCTGAGTGTAGCTCTGATTTTGGGGGTAAAGATTCTGTCACTAGTCCAGACATGGATGAAATAACTCATGGTAAGAAGGGGAAATGAGAATGAACTTTTTTTTTTTTTTTTTTTTTT